CTTTTCCAGAGAATCTCTGATGGAAAATTATTCTTTAAGCAGGGTTGCTGTTTTTCATGATTCCGTGGCTTTCCAAGTCTCACATGTTTTTGTGTGGGAGTGACCTTATAAATAAATTTGATCAGCAAAACTAAAAAACGTATCTTAAATTGTCTTCATGGTTAGAGAGGGTCTCTTCAATTGTCTTTTTGATGTTATTTAATAGTTTACGTCTCTGGAGTCCACATATCCACCTGATGATACTGCATGCATGGAATGCATTGAGCATATATTTTAGCAGAAATTGTTCTGTGCGTTTGTTTTGCTTTGTTTTTATAAGGTATACATTTCTCTGCATCGGGATGGAACTGATGGCCAGGCTACTGTCTACTGGAGTTTGAAGCCCTCAGGCTTTAACTCACAAGCAGTCACCAAGGATGACATCAGTCCCTTTAACGGCTCTGTTGTATTTTTATCTGGTCAAAGTGACACAACAATCAACATTACTGTCAAAGGCGATGGCATACCAGAAATGAATGAAACTGTAACACTTTCTCTAGACAGGTAATAATCCACCTAGGTACTGTTTAGTAGCCTTTATATGTTTGAGTTCTCTTAAATAATTTTCTTTTTGTTCTAATTGTTTTCTCTATATGAAATTTAAAAAATCAAATAGTGTTATGCTGACTTTTGTTATTTATTGATGGCTTCTGGTTAGTCTATGAATGTTATATCTTTCAGTAAACTTTTGCCTTGCTATTTGTCATGAAGGAGCATTAGAGAATTTATGGGGAGTATTAGATATATTTGAAGCATGGTCAGTACACTTCAATATTTTAAAAAGGCAGGAAAACATCCAAAATGGTTTCATTTTCGACAGAGGAGAGGATCAGAGCTTTCTTGGTTAAAAAGAAAGCATTAATCTTCATTATTTTTGCGTTGAATTTAAAGACTAAGGCCTATTTTTTAGACAGCCAAAAATTACATAAATTTGAAGGGTACTTTTCAGTTATACAAGAAGTTACTTAGAATTTATTGGAGACAATGTACTTTATGTTACTATCACAATCTCTGAAGAGAGTTTTCCCCCAATAATTTAGAAAATCATTTTTTAAAATAAAAAACTGTGTTTAATTGATGTTAATGATTTTTAAAAATCAAAACCAAACTCATCTCGTGTGGACCTCATTGTATTGATACTGATACAGATTAGAGGAGGTTACTGTGAGGTGAAGATGTTGCAGACTTCATATTTAGAAAGAGTAAAATTCATGGGTAAATGAGCTGTTTTGTACTATATTCTTCCAGTATTAAGTGATTAAAAATTACTTTATATAATTGTTGGACCTTTCTATATCCTATTACCAGTCTTTATTAGGTTTTATTTCTATGAAGGTGTTTTGTCTGAACACATTTTAAAACCCTGATGAGTAGTTGTTCTTTTATTTTTATGTGAAGAAAAATATAGACTGCACAGAACAAATCTATTGGATGACCACGATTTATTTTGTTCTCAGAACCACATTATGTTTACTTTCTCCTTTCCATGAAAAGTAAAACAAAAACAAAACAACAGAAAAACCAAAAAATGAAAACCAAATATCATGCACACACAGTTCAAATGACATGGGCCTAGTATACTTTTTATA